AATGGATGTTGGTCCTACCGAACTGAACTCGCCTGGCTAGGGGTTGGGGGAGCTGCCATTTGCATTAAGTCTTCGAGTGTTGGTGGAAGTGGGACATATGGTGAACTTGGGGAGCATATCCCAGGTGGGAGGGTAAGAAAATGATAATAGCTCTCAATAGTGGACACTTACTGTATACTGAGCTCTTAACATGCATCACTTCATTTAATCTTCACAGCAACATTCTGAGGTAGATATGATTACTTTGGTTTGACAGATGAACTGGAGCAGCTTGAACCCAGGTGTGTTTGACGTCAAGGCCCGAGCTTTAATGCTTTTTACTATATGCCTCCTGCTCCAAGGATGTAAGCAAAGCCACCCAGATGGCAAGTCAAGGGCACCTGTGGGAGGACAGAGAGTATGTTGGGGGAGCTAATGTGTTTGAAGCTGAACTTGAGGAGTAGCTGACCCTCAAGAAATTTCTTGTGAACACTTTTTTACCTTTACTCCAGTGTTAGGGGGTCGGGAATTCTGCTAAGAGCTTTGGGGCCCGCAGAACACGGAATTAAGCAGGCAATGCCCAGTGGGAAGACAGGCTAGTGGTGTCATGCCAAACCCTGCAGTCTTGACCTGCTCTTCTCTTGGTCACTGTGACTGGAAAGTAGCTCACAGGAAGTTTGGCAGGAGAGGAGATGCTTGTAGGTTAGGTGGAGAGGTGAGTGAATGGATTCTTGGTTTGGCTTTAATCATTTTTGGACCAGATGGGGTAACCCTCTGTGTGTATGTATGTGTGTGTGTATGTGTGTGTGTGTGTGTGTGTGTGTGTGTGTGTGTGTGTGTGTAGGTTGGTCAGTAATAAATGGACCAGCTCAGAAGGGGCTGAGGGTTAATGGTGTGGTGGTCCAGGGTACATGTGTACGTGTGCTGCCTGGGTTCACGTACTGGCTCTAACACTTTGTGACCTTGAGCAAGTCACTTAGCCTTGCTAAGCCTCCATTTCCTCACCCATAAAATAGCTACCCAATGCTTGAACCTGCCCTAGAGAATTTAGAAGATTAAAAGAGATACTAATAATTCTTGTAAATATTTAGTATCATGCTTGCTTGGTTCATAGTAAGAATTCAGTAAATGTTGGCTAATAATAAAACTAGGTGGGGACTATGTATTTAGCCCATGGGGTAGAAGTATAGGTGAGCAGAAGGATCAGCTGGCAAATAAATGCATGACTCGGCACAGGAAGTCAGGCAGAAGAGCCAAGGCAGGAGTCTCAAATCCAGACTCATAGCACTGGCCAACACCAGAGTGGGGGACATCGTTCCGGAGAACCTGCTGGGTGGACAGTCCATGGAGCAGGGTGGATACTTTCTAGGCCAGGTGGGTCTAGAGTGTGCATTTGAGGACCTACTGAACTGCTGGCCGGTCGGCTCTTGTTCCAGGAGCCTCTGCCCTGAGGTACCCTGTTAAGTGTGGTTTGATAGTAGATTTGAACCTGGGAACCTGGGTCCCAAATTCTGACTGTGCCACTAGGTAGGAGGGGCCCTTGGGCAAGTAACTCAAGGGCTCCCAGTGTGTTTCCACCACTGTGAGATGGGGTGAGTGTACCTGATTTTCAGGGTTTTTATGAGCTTAAATGAGATACCATATGTGGAAGGGTCTGGCCCAGTGCCTGTCACCTGATGAGCACTAAACAAAATGCATGTTCAATGATTAGGGGAAGCAAACTTCACAACAAAACCCCATGGAGTAGGCTGTTTGTGACACCTGGGGCTGGAGAGTAAGGAGCAGCTGGTGCCAGAAGGCGGTGACTGGAAGGCTGACGGGCCTCGGATCCGTGCTTGTCTCTGCCAGGTACTGGACAGAGAGGCCGTTAGCGAACGTGGTGTTTCACGAAGAGCAGGTTGGCAGGAGAAAGCAGAGAGCTTAAGACAGGAAGAAACGGCAAGTAGACAAGCTGTGTGAGATCTGAAGTCCAGCACAATCAAATGCTTTTAGCATCGAGAATAGGGAGGAAATTCAGTTCCATTTACCAGGTATCTATGGAGTGCCTGTTCTTGCCTGGAGATATTAAAACAAACATGAAAAGAAGAGAAATCTCTTCGTTCTTATGGAATAAGGAATGCCTCCAGCTAATTTGAGGCTTCCTCGTCCTTCTCTCAGGGTTGGATGGTCTCAAGAGAAACTTAAAAGGGAAGCCGTGTCATGCTGTGGCATGAGAACAAGTCACCAAAAGCTGCAGATTAACTAGTACACATGACGTAACTAGTACACATGCTGTAACTAGTACACATGCTGTAACTAGTACACATGATGCGAGCTCTTTCTACTCCAGAGATGCACTGTAGCAGTAGCGGCTGCATGAGGACCCTTTTCTCCGAGGTCTGTGGGCCAACATCTGGCTGCCTGAGCTAATCATCCCCAGGAAAAAGCCACTGCAGACCCAGGGAGCAGGCGCCCCACCAGCACTGCGGTGTCTGGCCCAAGTGTAGGAGGTGTTTCCAGGTCCTGAGGCCAGCCTGGGTGCCTGGGTGTGACCTGCTCCTTGTCTCCCTGCACAGAGTCCAGCAATGCTTGGCTTCCTGCTCTTCCCTTCTCTATCCTCTCCTCCTTTTCTCTCTCTTTCTCTCTTTTCCTCCTCAAGTCAGTGGCTTACCTAAGTCAGCCTGGGGTGGTAAGAGAAAGAGTCCCGTCAAGT